GATTACACTTGTAATCTCATATCTCAGGAGGCTGAGGTAGCAGGATCATTAGGAGTTTGAGACCAACCTGGGTTATAAAGTGAGCTCAAGGCCAACCTGAACTGCACAGTGAGACTATCTCAAAATAATAATGATAATAATAATGATAATAATAATAATAGTAATAATAAATTCTTTCTACTCAACCTCTGTTGTTCCTTGAATTCATTCTTTGATTTTAGAAATCATGAACTCAGTGCTTTGGACATCTAGCAGGTTGGGGCTTCATTCCCTTAATCAATTCTCCAAGAAAAGGGAATAAGAAGGATGGAAGGGGTTTGCAGTTATGCAATAAAGGGCTGAATATAAGTAAAATCCATGCACATGGAGACCTCCCCTCAAAATATAAAACTAGAGGGGAGCACAAGATGGGTGAAAATTATCAAAGTATGTTAATTGCAAGCACTAATCTGTCAAAATAAAACTCATTAATCTGTATAATCAATAAAAAAGAGTGCAAAAATTAAAAAAAATGTGGTCATTTCCCAAAGGATGACTACGTACAATCCTGGGACCAGAGAGCAGGAACATAACTTAGGTGTCTGGGCTAGGTAAGGGACTAGGGAATCAATGGCCAACGTGGTAAAAATTCTTTGATGTTGAAATAGAAGCATGATTAAGTCAGGCCAAGTGGGTAGTGGAAGAACATTCCAGAGAACTGTGCATGTTTTTTTCTATCCTGGTAGGTTTTAATTTGTAAAGACCAGGGACTGAATCTTATTCCCATTAAGTCTTCAACAGTACCTAGAAATTCCCTTGCTCCTAGGAACTGTTCAAAACTTAGCCAGTAAGTTGTAGAGAAATTAGAGTACTTCAGTTGCCATCATTAAAATGATGGGAAATAAACTATTCCCATGTTTTCTGCAACCTTTTTTAGGTGGATACACATTTGGGGCCCCAACAAACCATGATAGCTAAAAACTTCCCATTCTGCGTGGATCACCTTCCTTCAGGCTGAGGTCTCACGGGATGAGAATCCCTTAGTCCTTGTGCTACAGTGCCTCTGCTTGCTAAGCAAGTAGAATCAGATTAGACATTCCAGCAACCAGCTCCATGTGGCAGCTTCTTTATATTTCACGGCACTTGGCAGAGCTGGCCCCACTTCCTTCAGTAAGAACCTTCCCATTGTCTCTGAAGAGGATGGCCACAGCTCACTGCTACCTTACCTGAATCAGGGTAGGGACAGCACAAGGTCGTAAGAAGCACAGGAGCAAGCCTTGTCCAAGTGGTTCTGCAGGACCACTTAAAGGTGGATGCTTCATTTGGTGTGAGGCAACCTGGGAACAGGAGGCTTAGTGAAGCTTTCCAGACATGGAGGCTGTATTCAGGATCTTGGACAGTGTTGGGGTCCCAAGCTCACTGTCCAAAGTGGCCCTCTAGTGAAGCTGATCATTCAGTATCTTTCAGTAGGGCTATTCCAGCCCTCCTTTCAGAGAGCAGGCTTCACTGGGAGGTCCTTTGAGAGCCCTAGCCTTTCCAAGGCGTGGGTGGGGATGACTTTACATAGCTGTTAGCTCTTCTCTTGAGCAAGCTGGCTAAGAACACAAAGGTCTGAGTATTCTGATTTCCCAAGGGTAGGGAGTAGGGAAGAAAGTGAACTTTGCCAATTACTGTGATCTTTTTCTTTTCCAGAAATAATAAAAGGTAGTAATGTGTGGTCAAATTCAGATCAATGGTCATTTTGTTTTCATCTTTATCACAAGCCCAGGGAACCAACCATACTTCAGTTTTCATTGGTATGCAAATAATCTCACACAGAGCTGAGCACTTGTTCCTCACACCTGAAATCTTTTTTTTTTTTTTTTTCACCTGAAATCTTGAGGGAGGCTGAGGGAGAGGATTTAGGCTTGATCAACTTAAGAGTTTTTCTTGGGAGGGATTCAAAAGGCAGGAAATCAATAAAGTTGGAACCTGGCCTTCCATGGCCAGTTGATCCCAAGACATGAGTTCCATCAAACAGAGTTGGAAATCTTTGTCCCTAAATGCTAACATCTGGTTGGGAGTCAGTGGTCATGAGGGGAGGGCATCTCTATAGCCCACGGAGGACAGTCTTTTAATGTGGGAAATGTTGATTATTCCTTGAAGTCACAGTAGGGAATGAACTAGAAAAGAAAGATAGATAACAGGTAGAAAAATGATGAAACTAGCAAGGCCTTTCCGAGCCTCCCTTTCAAAATGAGCAGCAGGGGAGACATAAGGGGAAAGTGGTGGAGCATACAGTCAAATTTTTAACTGAAGTTGTGCTACAAAGTATCCTCATGCAAAGGGCTGGGGGGTGGGGTGGAAGTGAACCATCTATCACCCTACAAGTTCCAGGGCTTGAAAGCAGCAGGTTGTCATGTGATAAAGGTCTGGACGGATGCAAGGGGCAGTGGCCACCTGAAGAACACAGTGCGACTAGTAGCCACAGAAGCTGGTCTGTCATGCAGGCGCACACTGAAGGTGTGCACACCTGCCCTCTGAACTGCTGCGCACACTGCTTGTGAAACAGAAGGTGAGCACAAAGATGGAGAAAGTGACAGCTTCCTCAGACAGCATCTTGCCGTGTTCTTAAAGTAGATGACATCTGTTAGAATATACAAAGGGCACGACTAAGTAGATGACATCTGTCAGAATGTACAAAGGGCACGACTAAAGTCTCATTAGTTCTTGACACAAGATTGGTGCAGAGTGTTTTTTTCTTTGTGACCATTTTGTCTTTGAAGCAGCCAGCATTAGGGCATCTAAGAGAGAGAACAACCCCTGATATCACGGAGGAGGGGTAAGCAGGCCAGGGCACCACCTGCCATTGAGACTGAGCTGTGGTAAAGCCACAGCAGTGGTGGGGACGCTTCCCTTCTGGCCACCCCAGTGCTGACAATGAGCAGACAGGCTGCAGATGGAGCAGGTCGGTGCTTATGTTCCAAGCAACACACACACACGCACACACGCACACATACACGCACACGGCACTGTAGCAGCGTTATTGTATCTTCATGCACACCCATTTTGGGATAGTGTAAACCAACTTTATTAGTCTTAAAATATGTCTTTCTTAACTCAATAATATTCTTTTTTTAACTAAAGATAA